AATGCTGTTTCCAGGGCTAGATTGTGAGGATTTACAACAGTGGAACTGAAGGAAAATAGGTCAGAAAGTGATTGCTGTGTACACCCTTCTTTTGCATTTAATATGTATTTACAGACAAAGGTATTGTTATGGTATTATGTACTTTTGCTTGGAGATCATTAGTACATTTTGGAAATACGAATAAATAGATAATTTACACCAGTGGATGGGAAAATCCACTGTAGATGATCAAATATTGCAAATTAAATGGAAGGGTCCATTCCTGCAAATTTCGGAGTGCACCTCTGAAGTGTTGAGATCTTTCAATGCCCACTGCAATTAGAGGAAGCTGAAGGTACACGGCACTGTTCAGAATTGTGCTTTCTGCATAAAATGATTTATCACACAATGTATTTAGAGTGTATTTATGAAATTCATTGCAGTACCTACATTTATAGTTGTGTTTTCAGAATAAGAGACTTCACTGCAGCATTCTGCCATTTCTTTATTGAGACATAGAGGTTGGTTTGTAGAAAATAAGATTCACTCTAATGTAAAATTTGCTTGTCCAGTATTTTTCTCTGAAGATGTTCCTTAACTTTAGTGTCTAAATAAAACAAACAAACAAACAAAGGAGACTTTGAACTCTAAATAAAACTGCAAGAAATTTGCATGTTAATAATGCATGTGTTACATACAGAACTTAAAAGGAGAAAAGAACTTCTTTTGTCCTGAGGACACCCAAGAGGGGAAAATTTTGTTTATCAACAGACTGCATTGCTTAAATTATATTGTGAATCATATCCATCATATACTCATTTCTCCTAAAGTAAAATCACTTATATGGTACATTACCTAACCCAAATATTAATACCAACAAGACATTTAAGTTAAGAAAATATTAAGGTTGCCAATTTTAAGCCAGGAAAATGAGAAATCTGAAGTTAAATGTGCAAACTGAACTCTGACCTTTGGTATGTATTCTGTGCATTATGGTCCACACGTACATAATCATTACTGTTCTCAAATAACACAATATCATGCTGTCTTTTCATACTGTATGACTACTTAGTTCCTGCCTCAACTTTGTTCTCCTTTACTAAATGTTTTACTATTCAGCTAAGTTAGCTGCACTTTGCAAAAAGGCCCATAACTGAATGAATTCTAATCTAACTTGTGCTGGATCTCTTTAGGCCTATTTCCTTACCAACTATATACTCAGGCAGTTTTGGGTTCTGACTTGTTCCAGCATTCACAATAATGTTTCTATAAAGGAGGGAAATATATTTTCAGTCTTTCTCAAATACTGTTCAGCTGTTTGTGTTCAAAACACCAAAGTTTCCTCTCACCTGAAACATTTCAACCACAAAAGTAAAAGTTACTGGAAGTTCTGAGTGGCTGGAAAACAAAAGAGTCTAATGAACTATTTCTCCAGCAAAGTACTTGCCATCAGTGGCTCACATGCTTAAAGTTGCACCCATGAATCTACCTCTATAATTTCAAAAGTAAGGTGAGAGAAATTCAAAACCAGTAGCCTAAGTTCAAAGCATGGCTTTTAGTTTCTGAGTTGTGTAGGTAAATTTGCTTATTCAACACAGCCCACAAAATTTCCTGCTAATCTATCAATAAATCTGAAATGGAGAAGGAATAACTCTGATTATCCAAATTCTACTTTTATTGAATGCTCGGCACAAATGCAGTGAAGGCTCCATGACAACTCCTAAACTGCCACATATGGTGCACATACTAAACGAAGTACTGTACATCTTAGCCCTGTCCTACGCTGTCCTTCAGAAACATGTCACTGGATCAAAGTCAAGTACGTACTCTTAACATGATCTTTCCCCCCAGACTAGAACACTATAGCATATTAAGGAGCACTGTAAATTAAGTGATGATGATAGTTTAGCAGTTCATACATTTAGAGCTGCCTTGTGAATAAAGGCAAGCTTTGAGAGTTTTTCTACTGTACATGCCCAATATTATTCACATCAACTATATTATGTTGAAGGTTTCTGCAGCTGGCTAATCTCACTGCCATTAAGTCAAACTAATCTAATCTGATGCATTTTGTACTTGTTTGAGCAAATTCAAATCTGTTCAGCAACCTTTACTGATGCAAGAATGGACTAACTGGCATGTAGTAGAGAGAGGTATAATAAATGGACTGTTCTTCACATTCATCCTACTTGCCACCAGTCCTCATTTCTTGTCAGGTACCACAAGTGAGCAAATATATTCATGTGTTTTCTTTTCTTTAGCTCAGAGATCTCTTTCATCCTTCCCTGCCAATATGTCAAGGACGATCTGATCTGTAGTTAAAATGAGATGAGGATACCTTCTTAGTGAACAGCAGTGGTGAATTATCTGTAATCAAGAGGAATGCTGCTATAGCTTTTGACTCCTTTTTATACCAAAGGAGATGAAGCATATATAATTATTCATCACCAGGAAGCGAACAGATGCATTTATGAATTCTGGTGTAGTACTAAATCTCAAACCAACTTCTCTCATGGCTTATAATTTTGATGTACATCTTTCTCTCTCAGTTTACTTGCTTCATAACTGAGACCATTTCTGGTAGAATGACAGCTAAGTTTAAATCTGTATGTAACAAGACATTGAACACTACCAGACTCTACTGAAGTGTCTAAAAGCCATACCTCACTTGTTGCATTCAATCCTTTTTCCAGAAGTTCATCATGAGAGACCATCTGATATACATGGTTGATTTATCTCTCAAGAACTGAATGATTCCAACAGAATAAATTAAAGTAAAAATATGGACCTTGCCAGTGAAGATGATATCTTCACAATTTGTGGAGGCAAGGCTGTCAGCTTTGTTTCCAAAAAGATGAATGAGAATTCCTGTACACAAGCATGGCATAACTATCCTAGACTTCTAACTATGTTTGATATCACAGTGAATGATATTGTTATGATTTCTTGCCAAGGAGTTTAGGATGTAGTTGACATATGCCATTGGGTATTCTGTTCACAAGCACAAGAAGTCCAGGGAAATCTAGTCTTTACTGAAAATTGTCAGTTGAAGCTTGATTAGCTGGTGTAGAAAGAACGTCTTCTTGAGAATGAGAAGTATATGATGAAAGAAGTGGTTCTGGACAGAAATCTGAACAAACAGAAATATATCTTCTTCTTATTGCTCGAGGGAGAAACACTCCCCTTATTGAAAAGCCTCCAGGAAACAAATTGTTGGTACCTCCTACAGGGGAAGATGAAGAAGTGAAGGTAGGTATTGTGTGCTAATAGTGAGTCAAAATACCCAGGTGTGGAAATGCCAGTGGGAGACTGGTATTCAAAATATATTTCACTGAAACATTGGCATATTTATCAGATCAATCTGAGCCTTTAGCGATCATCTTTGAAAAGTCATGGAAGACAAGAGAGATTCCGGAAGACCTGAAAAGGCAAAAAATTGTGCCCGTCTATAAAAAGGGAAATAATGACAACCCAGGAAACTACAGACCAGTCAGCTTAACTTCTGTGCCAGGAAAGATAACGGAGCAAATGATTAAAGAATACCTCTGCAAACATCTAGAGGTGATAAGAAATAGTCAGCATGGATTTATAAAGAACAAATCATTTCAAAACAACTTCATAGCTTTCTTTGATAAGATAACAAGCCTTGTAGAAAAGGGGGAAGTGGTAGACATGGTATATCTAGACTTTAGTAAAGCCATGGTATATCTAGACTTTGATAAATCTTACATAACCTCTTTTTAATAAACTAGGGAAATACAATATAGATGGTCTACTATAACATGGGTGGATAACTGGTTGGATAACCATTCTCAGAGAGTAGTTCAGTGGTTCACACTCATACTGGAAGGCCATAACAAATGGGATTCTTCAGGGATCAGTTTCGGAACCAGTTCTGTTCAGTATTTTCACCAACTATTTAGATAGTGGCATAGAGAGTATGCTTATAAACAGGGCTCGACAAACTGTGGTGAGAACTACTCGCCAGCCCTGCATCATGCATGCGCCAGACTGGCACTGTGCATGCATGCAGCGCCGGTGAATGGGGCGCACAGAGCAACCGGCTGAAATCTACTCACCACGGGAGAGTAGAAACAGCACTTTGTCGAGCCCTGTATAAAGTTTGCAGATTAGAAAGCTTAGAAAGATTGCAAGTGTTTTGGAGGATAGGGTTATGATTCAAAATTCATTCTGGAATGTATTAACGGGAGTGTTGTAAGCAAGACATGGGAACTAATTCTTCACACTACTCTGATTAGGCCTCTCAATTGGAGTATTGTGTCCAGTTCTGGACAGAACAGTTCAGGAAAAATGTGGAGCAATTGGAGATGGTCCAGAGAAGAGCAACAAAAATGCTTAAAAGTATAGAAAACATGACCTATGAGGGAAAAGAGAAAGAACTGAGTTTGTTTAGTTTGGAAAAAAGAAGTCTGAGAGGGGAAATAAGAACAGCTTTCAAGTACTGAAAAGGTGGACGGAGAAAATTATTCTTCTTAACCTCTGATGATAAGACAAGAAACAATAGGCTGAAACTACAGCATGGGAGATTTATGTTGGTTATTAGAAAACAATTTCCTAACTGTCAGGGCAGTTTCAAAGGGGTAGCCATATTAGTCTGTAACTTAAAAAATAACAGGTAGTCCTGTGGCACCTGAGAGACTAACAAAAATATATAAAGGATCATGAGCTTTCACGAGTAAAACCCACTTCATCAGATGACTGTAATAAATTGCCTAGGGAAGTTGTGGAATCTCCATTATATTATATATGTAATACAATGGAGATTTCGCAACTTATCTAGGCAATATATATATGTATTCGAGTGCATATGTCTGTGAGTCTCTCTGCAAGTCTATTTGTTCAAGAACCCCTCCTAAATGGTAAAAGATAGCACCACCAAATCTGGTATGCAGCTTCCTCTTACCCTAACATAAAGCAAGGTCAGGGTTTGGTTGTGCCAGGAAAATGGGAAGTGCTGGGAATGGGACTGTTTTCCAGAACATAGAAAGGGAGGAGGCTGCTGTTTGGAGAGATGCAATACTGCAGAGTGACCACTGGGGGCAATGAGTGCAGGGGAGAGCTATATTGCAGAGTGGCAAGCTGGGGCTGAGGCTTGCCATCTTGTCTGTCACCAGACCAAATAAGTAATCCCCTACTCTGAACCCCTCCCCCAGGCCCTTGGCTGCAGTGCTAGAATGGGGGGAAAGAAAAGGCCCCTGACAGCCAGGGAGATTGTGGGGATGGGAGAAGAAAAGGCCCCACTGGCTGGGAAGGAGGGAAAATAATTCAGAAAAAAACCTTATTTTTAAATGAGACTGTTAATTAAAAAAGAAACCCTCATGCAAATTAATAAAATCTTTGGGGGAGATTTTTAGCCGCAAAGAGATCTTACAAACCTAGCTGACTGAAATTCAAAGGGAGCGAGATGCTAACTCCCATTTGCACCTCTGAAATTCTCCATGTCATTAATGGCCTTGATACAGTAAGGTATGTAAATGCATATGTAATTTGAAGCACGTGAGAAGCCAGCGGTCATGTGACTGATCATTTGGAAATCTGAACCTTCTCTCAGCAGTGTCACATAAAGTTAATTTCCTTTTAAACTTTATTGAAAGAAATCTAGTGTTCATGAAATGTACCAGACTAATTATACTGGAAACTTTCAGACCTCTTGTTTTATATGCTGAAAGGTCTGCTCTGCTAATTTCCTTGCACCACATCACTTCTTGCAAATTTGGCTCAATCCTGAATTTTTAGAGCTGAGAATGTGGTTTAGTCCCTGGTTCCATTAATCCGTACCTTCTCCATTGAGGTTGCAACTATTTTGGATTTTATTACAGGTTCCTTTCCTATATCTGCAGGAAACTGAAGCAAGACACCCAAACCATTCCATATAGCAGGCCACTGAATAAGCTGCCTGGTGGTTAGAATTTTTTTGTCTCTGCTGACATGAGCTAGATTCAGAGCAGTGACCTCAACATGAAAGGCTTCATGCTCCCATTCCTAATCCCTTAATCCACTCTGTTCCCTACATATGGCACTTGTATGTTTCCCCCTGACCCTACGTATTAAATATACCTTATAAAGTCCACCTGCAAATGGATTTTTTTCTTCCTTCATGTGCTTTGATAGGTGAGAGAAGACTTGTCTATGGAGTAAATGTCATGACTGCTAGAAAAAAGGGGAAGGAACTCTGGGTATAAAATTATGGGGAGGGTTCTGTTTCACTGTTGACTCACTTTCTCTCAATTGCTTGTTGATTGTGATGCTGCCTTTAATTTTGCATTTGATTTTTTTCTCTTGGTTATTGATGTCAGTAGCTATGCTGTCACAGAGGCTAAATGACATTTTCTTTTTCTGGGCAGCGGTATCTTGAGGTTCCCCAAGCACATTCTATAAACTAGTGGTTTCAAGAGGAAAGCTATCTGTCAAAAGAAAATTAAATTTCACTGGCATAAATTAGGTTCTGGCTTCAAGAATTTACAAAACTGACACCTTGCAGAGTTGAGTACTGAATGTATTGGTGGAATTTGATCTGATCTTCACCTCTGTGGAAGTTCTGTGCTCTTTCTGGCTATTGCAAGTGATGTAAAGAGAGAAACTGCCCTGTTAGATGACTATTAAGGATAGCCTCTTATTAACACTTTTTTCACCCACTAGAGTGTTCCTTATTGGTAAATTGAATTGCATAGTGACAAATACTTAATAGGAGAGTAACAATTTTGCAATTGGTGTCTTATTTCAGATTATTTATCCTCGTCAAAAATAAATCAAGATTTTGTTTGATACCATGTCCACCTATAAACACTTCCCATTTGTCTGCAGATAAAATAATATTACATCTATATTTGTCTTATTTCCTTTAATAAGAGTCTAACTAATGTTGAGGTCATGGGATCTATTTATTCAAGGAAAAGTGGCACATTATGTTTTTTAAGAGAATCAAAAGAAACTGTATTCCCTATTATTTCTATAACGTCTTTTTTTAACTGTGTGTGTATGACATTCTTCAACTCTAAACATTTCATGCAAATACTTTCTCTATGTTGGAGTAAGAACAAGTATGAGGTGTCTTCACTACAGATGCCTGTTCAATATGGTAGCATTCTTTCATCTTCCTTTGAGTGAGTTGTCAGAGATCTCTCCTTCTGCTTGAGTGATTCCATATATCTCTTACATGACGAGTTAATGGCAGTCAGGATCCCATTCTACACTTGAGTCTTCTTTACACCCTTCAGCGCTCCAGATCCATACAGGCAGTTGTAGTGCTTGTTGACCCTTTGCACTAGCAGTTGTTTCATATGGTAGAAAATTGTTTCTTCCTCTTACTTATAGAGGAGACTGTGTTTCTGAACTGTGCAGTGGACCAATGGCATGAAAGTAATGACAACTCTGAAAGCAACAGAGACAGAAGTAGAAGTAAAAGTTAGATTACTAGGAATGGTAGCATTACTAGCAGCTTAAACAGAATAGATTTGGATCCAGATTTCATTGTACAGGCAATTTAATGAGGTGTAACCCCTGGTCTGCCAGCCATATTTATATGATGAAGTATAAGAATGTCTTCTCCTTAAAATATAAAGAATATTTCTATATGTGAATGATATAATAGACAGTGAATTAATTTTGGAATAAATGATGAATCACATAAATTGTGTATTGATATCAGACTATTGCTTACCTACTCATAAATCATGGGAACAAACTTACATGAAACAACATTTTTCTGACTGCATAGAAAACATCCTTAACCTTGAACAAATACAGTATTGTTATATTCTGTAGAGTTCTGTTTACCAAAAGAAATTTTTGCATGTTTATTTTTTTAAGCTAACCATTCCTGTTTCATAGGATTTCTTAATTGTGAGCAGACTGAAATGTCTTTTTCTTAGACCCCTAGTAGTATAGCATTGTGTACTTTATAAGGGCCTTTTTCTGTATATTTGTATTAGTTACATGTTATAATCTCATCCATAAACATTGATGCCAAAAGGTCTCTTCTTTATTTCTTTTAGTAATCTGAAGTGATAACACTACACAGTTTTGCATTTTTCACTCAGATGGTAACCAGTATTGTACTTCTCCCACTCTTTTTTATAATGCTCCAGTCTTATTTAAATACAAATAAAAAAACACCCAGAATTAGTTTTTCACATCGGCACTGACTTACAAGGTTATTTGAAGTTAAAGCTTTTTGCCAGTTTCCATTTTCTTCACAGTGCTCCTTTCCGCTTCTAGTTTGAAAAAGAAGGAAAAAAAAGTTATTTAACAAAACTTGATCTGTTTGAAACTCGAATGTCCTAGCTGTCCTTCCTGTGCTACCACAGACAGAATGAGAAATGAAGGCTGAAGGGCTAGGCCAATTTCAGGAAAAATGCCCAAAAAGGTCAGAGAGAAATGGGATCCTGTTCATTTTGTGCTCCCCAGGTGATATTCAATAACTCTTTTAGTCTTTATACTGTAGGACATGGGCTCATTTGCTCAATTTGGGGTGACAGCAGCATGTTTTGTCAGAACATAGCTGGAGTTTTAAATGAGTATGGTATTCGGAGGCAGTAGGAAACATCCTTTATCTTAGCAACAGGAGGGCATGGAAATGCAAGTTTTTTGGCAGCAACAGTATAAATCTAGTGTTTTTGAGGGGCTGACCTAGAGCATGTGGAAGAAATGCTCAGTTTTCCTTTGACGGTGTGATTTCCTGCTTCACGTTTGAGAACTTGTCTGGACTGGATGCTGAAGAAAGGCTACATCAATTACTTGAAAGGGAACCAACTCTGTTTCTGAAAGTTTGGCGGCAGAAAATTCATTGTTAAGGTGGGGAGAGGGGAATGAACTCCATTTCTTTTATATTTTCAAAGTCTCTGGGTATTAGAGACACCCATTACTGACATTGTGCTTAAGGGTCTGTCACAGCCCCCTTTCTACACACTTTCTTAAGGGATTATAACTCGTCTGCAAATTATTTTTGAGACTAAACTTGAACTGCAAGATCTCAGCCACCCCCCAAAAAAAAGCTGTTTTAAAGCTCTTTGAGTGTCTTAAAAAAATAAGACCACAAAAAACTGCATCCTGCACCAAATCTAGACATATTGTAGTTGTAAACTTTTCTTCCATTTCCCATTGGCAAAACCTGCTTAATTTAGTTGCACATAGATTTTGCTGTTTTTCAGTCCATGCTATCAATGCAAATAATCTTTGGATAGTTTAGAAAATAAATAGTAAAAATGACAAAGTGATCTCTTTTTGGAAGGCCATTGTAGTGTAACTCTTAAGCAGCTGTTACATCTTGTGTGTCAATAATCCTTGTATTACAAAGTCGTTAAGCAGTCAAAGTTACATGATAGATCATAAATCTGTATTGTGAGGTTTTGTGTGTTTGTCAAATAATTCTGAGCCAACAGAGTGTCTAGATATGTATATATTGAATAGACTGTAATGCCTCCTAATGAGCGATTGCAGTCTGAAGTAAATAAGTAATTAGAATTATAAACATTTGATGCTTTGGTTCTTTTCATTCCCTAATGTGTAAAAAGCCAAGTAAGGAAATTTAAGCTTTTTGGGAAAAGGAATATCATTTACAATGTTCTGTAAAGTGTCTGGCACATTTGGGACCTCGTCATGACTGAAGCACTTAGACTCTCTGATAATATTGTTATTGTTATTTATTTATTCTATAATATTATGTAATATAAAATGTAGAGAAGGGGCTGGCTTGTCATAGGCGGGATAGAACCCAAAGCTAGCAATACTCTGATAAGAAATTATGACCCAAACTATGTGAGTCCCTGAATGGACATTGACTTTCCCATTTCTCCCTCTATTCATGGTTCAGTGGCCATGCTACCATCAGCTTCTGTATTGTAGCTGAGCATCATCTCCCTCCAACACCAGTTATAGCTTCAGAGGAGGAGTATGTGCTGGAGTGAGCTTGTTGCAATGTGCTTTGTGGATTAGAGTTTGTACCCCTTGAATGAGGCACACAGGGCAGCTAATCCTTTATCCACTTCCTAGTGTGACAGGCCTCACTTCCCTGATGATGGGTGTATGATTACACATAATTTAGCCAGGAATGGCCTGAGTGATGTTGGATAACTGCCCACTTTCCCTGCCTGATCAAACAGCCTCTCCTCTACATTTTTGCTCCTTTCTGCAGTCTTCTTTAGTTCTTCATGGGGTGCATGACTAGTCAGTATTGTGGATGATGGTGATGGGATAAGATGAAGGCGGGCCATGTCACTTCATATACCCCCAGGGGAATAGTGAAGGAGAAGTCCTTGCGCTATTTTAAGAACAGGGAATATAATTTTTATGGGATTTAAATTACTGTTTGTATTACAATAGCATGCAGGGGCATCAACTCAGAGCCATACTCTACCATGCACTGTAAGAGATATTTTGTGTCCAGTTTACCATTTTGCAAGACAGAGGGTAACACAGAGAAACAGGGCAGGGAAGTACCTTGCTCAAGGTTACACAAGAGATCAGTGGTAAAACTAAACCCGAGTTTCCTAATTCAGTCCAGTGCCCTATTCTCTAGCTCAGTGTTTCTCAACCTTTTTTTATAAAGTACCCCTTTAAAAAATATATAAGTACTCCCAGTACCTAGTTTTCAGACACACAATTTTTTTTCTACCATTGCAACACATTTGTTTAAACAACTTAATTGTAGATGGGCAGGCAATTAAATTTTTGGGTGTAAAAAGAACAAAAATAATAAAGTGCTATACAACTTAAAACAAAAATTCAGTTTTCTCTAAATTTCAGTTTTGTTGACGTACCTCCCCCTCCCCCCCGACTTCTCTCGACTACCCCTAAGGTACTAGTACCACTGGTTGAGAAACACTGCTCTAGCTTTACTATTTAATTCCCTCTCGCCTACTGCACATCCACATAAAAGCAACCAGAATCTGACCCATAATAAATGGCTTTATTCTTGAGGGGTTTTATTAACCTAACAATTCTTTACCAACAGTTTCTAACACCAGGGCAAATGCAATGTTTTCATTTACAACTCTTCCAGCACTTATGATGTTTGTTCACTGTTTCTGAATATGGAAAATCCATGTGGTATGACTGGGTGGCTATTCTTCTGTTATATTTAAATCATTTTTATCCCCGAGTTTTGAAAATATAAAACCTTCCAATTTTTCAGAATTTTGCAGCCTAAATTTGAAAACTGATCCTCTCACGCCATAGACATATGCACAAATAATATTGGCATTTATTTAACTTATTTTTTGACTTTGTGAAAAATTTCATGCACTACCTGAAAACATTGCTGATACTCAAATAGTTCATTTGCTTAATTGACTTGTAACAAGTTTTTCTTCATCATGCTG